GAAGGAAGAGTGATGGCTGAGCATGTAACATCTCACTGCCCAGTTCCAGCTGAACACTGGGCATGCCTTGGCTCGTTTTTTAGAGTGGATTTCTTCACTTCTTTGAGTGGTGTTTGAGGGTGTTGTTGTACGTTTGCATTGACACAAAAGGATCTGCTTATTATGTATGTGACATGCAGCAGTCGTGTGCTGTACCCGTCGGGTCGAGGTTTGCGGACGTCTGTGCTACGTTTCCAACACGACTTCCCTCGCCAATGTGCAGTCAGAGCTTCAAGCCTTTCTCGGCATGCACGAGCAGGAGCCGATAAGTCAGAGCAGCTGGCTCTTGGCGTGCCCTCTTGTGCCTGTGAGTTCTGATGTTTTTTGATTGACAGGAGTTCGATTTGTCTGACAGTGCGGGCAAGAGGAGCCTTGCCTAGGGTGCAGGAGCAGGTGATCTGGTGCCATGTCGACCCATCTTAGCTACGTGGCCGCTCAGGCTGGTGACTGATCAAGAACTTCAAGCTGCGGTTCAGGGTTGCCAGACTTGCGTTGGTTCTGTGCGTCGGTACAGTCGGAGGATTCATGTCAGGCGCAAATAGCTGAAGCACATCCGAGGTAGCCTCGTTCCGCTGCAAGCTGGCCTTTCAGATGCATCTGTTCACCTCATTGAGAATCGTCGCGAAGAGTTGGCCCAGATGCAATGGAAGGCGTGATTGAGGGCGCTGCAAGCAGCACTTTTCCTTCATCTCAGGAGCATGAAACGCATCCGGTGCCAGGTGCTGCGGGACAAGCTCCAAGGCTGCAACAGCGACGTCTCGGCGCTGTCCACGCAAGTCTCGGAGCTTCAACAGCGGATCCTAAGCAAGCAATCAGCGGGTTTTGGGGGTCCCTGGTCTCCGAGCACCGCAGCACCCGAAAGAAGTCCAAAGCCGCAAACATCTTCGCAAGACAAAGCTAGCCGCTGGCTGGTATTGGGCAGTGCCAGAGATAGCAAGCGATCGACGCCGGAGCCATCGTAACATTCTTGCTTGCGTCAGGTGGAGCGTTGGGAGACAACGGTTCATAAGGTCAGCTTCGAGGAAGCAGGGTCTACATCCGGCGCAGCAGAAGGGCACGCTGTGTGGCCCATGCTCTCTCGTCCATGACGCACTCTCTTGCTGACGAACGAATGAACGTCCTCTGGGTTTTTGAAGCCTTCCCAGGATGCAGAAATACTTCGCAATGAAATGCCAACACGTCGCTGTCTTGCAAGGATCCAGCTAGAAGCAAAAGAGCGTGAGAAGCTCGTTGAGGCCTCCGGGGACATGCATGACCACGTTCAAGCGTTCAAAGACTGGGGCAAATGTCGCCAATGCTGCCGCGAGGGGCTGAACATAAGCTTATCTCAGACTTCTCTGTGTTGGTCAGGCTCTTCGAGCAGATATTGGCAATCAGCTGAACCAAGATCGGGCCGCTGTGGAGGTTGGCAGTGATCGGGGTCGTGCAGGTTGTTGCCAATGTTTGTTCGTTTGAGACAGTGTTGCATTCTGGCACCAATCTGGCACCAAGGCCAACATGCATCAGCTGTCCGAGCAGATCCACTCTTTCTCGAGTCTCGTCAATGCAGCTGCTCATCCGCACATGATGCTTCTGACATTTAACAGTCACCATCAGTCACCATTAGACCGTGTGGGTCGGCCAGGAACAGAACAAGCGCGAGTATGCACACAAAGTCTTCGACAACCAAGTCCAGGACTTGGGATTTTGGGCACCCGCACGGGGGAATAGATGGGCTCTCCCTCAAGAGCCTCAGAGCCTTAGAGCCGGGTGAGAAGTCGTCTCAAAAGGGCGAGGAAGCCGCCAGGAGTCTTCTTGTGCCCGGCAAGAGACCGGGCCCAGTTGGCCAGTTCACAGATCCGCTTAAGACGACACCTTGAGTGTGCCTAGGGATTCCCCTCGCTTGTGTCGGCGTTTGATTACTTTGGCCTACTTTGCATCACTTGTGTCGCACTGGCATTTTTGGGGTGGACATGTCTGGAGTGGGTTGCAGACCCGATTCCTCCTTATCGTTTCGGAATAGCAAATTCTGCCCATTCGCTGGTTTTCCAGGCTTCAGCTCACCGACTTGGGGACTTGGGGTCTTCACATGCATGTGCAGGAAATCATGGGAGGATTACAAAAAAGGGCAGACTAGGGGGCAGCTAAAGGATGGAACTGTCGGCAAAGATAACGCAGGCCTTGGCTTTGTTTTGAAGCTTGTCCCCGTGGGACAGCTGGGCTCATGCGTTCCAATCATTGCCATGGGAGGATCTGCGCAATGCCCTCGATGCTGACCGAGCAGAGCGACGCCAGGCACGCCACACTTGCGACGTCTGCCGAAGCCTTGCAGAAGTGTCGTGTTGTTGGCAGGAGTCCGACAAGCATCTCGCAATGTTGCGCGAGGGCACGGTTGGCCTCGATGCGCAACGGCATGCGTTGGAGCCGCATGACTGTCAAACTCATTCAACATCTGTCAACGGCTTGTCTGCTTTTTAAAGCGTCTCGTGTGGTAATCTTGCGTTGCTTTCGTCCATCGAGTCAGGTCCGTGGAGCAGCGGCACATGCTGGATTTGCAAAATCTCAGATCGGAGCTTGCACAGGCTTCCAGGCTGGCTCTCTGACATGCTGCTGACTTGTCCACAGGCTTAGTCAAAGGATCAATGTGAGCCAGTGGCCTACCAGTGAACATTAACATGTATCTAGTCCTTTCAGGAAGGTCACGGCCTTTGCCGATGAGCACCTTGGTGTGCATTTTTCACGATTGCCTATCGCCACAAAATCCCAAAATGGCGCGTTGCTTCGAAGGCAGCTCGAGTTGCTTCGTTTGTCCAATGAGGACCCTGAGTGCATCTGAAGACCGTCTGCATCGTACTTGTGGGGTACTGCAGACCTCAATGCGAAATCCCACTAGACTCGATTGCTTGCTTGTTTTCGGAATCTTATGCGCAATACTTTTTGGCCGGAATGTCAGGAGCTCGCACGCAAGTTGAAGAGTCTGGAAAGCCACCTGCCCATTTGGGGGCTTTTGGACACCTCTTCGCTCGCAAACAGTGTATTCTGTTTTACTGTGTGGCTGTTCCTGCTCTGTCTATGGTTGCATATCGCAAGGTGACACGCACAGGAAACTGGCAGAAGTTCAAGCAGGCAATGAGCAGGCCATGAAGAACGTCAGTGCAGCAGAGGTTCGGGGCTTACATCGAGCGAAAGTATGGCAGTCCCGGAATACTGAAGATCGGGTTGAGGCTCACAGCCATGAGATTGATGCGCGACTGAGCCAGGACAGGAGCAACTTGTTGTGTTGATGCAGCCATCCCCTGCCTGTACGGGAGTTGGTGTGTCATCAGTTGGGCTTCTCGAGCTATGCGAGTGTGTTTGAAACGGCGGGGGAAACCACAAAACGATACCCCAGCTTCAAGACCTCTGCAACCTGCTCCTTCCACTACTACTACTACTACTACTACTACTACTACTACTACTGCTACTGCTACTGCTTCTGCTACTACTACTACTACTACTACTACTACTGCTGCTACTACTACTGCTACTCCTACTACTACTGCTGCTACACCTGCTACTACTACTACTACTACTGCTACTCCTACTGCTGCTACTACTACTACTACTACTACTACTACTGCTACTACTACGACGACTACTGCTACTCCTACTACTACTGCTGCTACTACTGCTACTACTACGACGACTACTACTACCACTGCTGCTACTAAGGCTGCGCCATGAAACCTCAACTTGTTACAATCTCCGAGCCAAGATCCTAAATGCCAGGCTCCATATTCAGCCGACGATCAAGAACTACAATGGAGACGATAACTAGGCGGTACACCCCGAAACCCCTAGGCCCAAACCCTAAACCCTAAACCCTAAACCGAAAACCCCTAGGCCCAAACCCAAAACCCGGAGCTCGCCAAAAGCTTTAGTCGCTAAAGCCCGACACCCTAAACTGCAACAACCTCGCTTTAGGGTTTAGGGTTTAGGGTTCAGTGTTTAGGGTCTATGGCATCTGCAACACGAATAGGAACCAAGTAAGGTTCAGCAAACCCTGATAACACACCACACAGACCTTCAAATTTAAACCCTTACAGTAGACAGCACTAGACTACCCCCCCCACCCCCCCGCCCCCCAGCAAAACGGAAAACCCTGAACATACCTGTACTGCTCCTTCCCTAAGCCCCAAAGCCCTAATCCCTTAACCCTAAACCCAATTACTAAATGTCTGCCCTAGCGGCTCGATGGAGGCCCGCGCCGCGTTCTTCACGAGCTCCAGGAAGATATAAAAAAGGTGCCTTTAGGGTTTAGGGTTTGGGGTTTAGGTTTTAGGGTTTGCGGGTTTGCGGGTTTTTCTTCCGAAACGTGGGGCCTATCCCTGAACCCCAAAGCCCAAGTCTTTCAGCCCTAAACCCTACAAATACAGCAAATCCTAAACCCTAAGCTGAACCTAATGGGCCTCTTTATGAGGGCTCTTTGAGGGCTCTACAAGGGCTCAATCCTTGCTAGCTTGGAGTCCATAAAGATTCTGAGAAAATTGTAAAAAGACTCAATAAGATCTCTATACACCGGTTCTATAGGTGTTCTATAGCTATCTTCTTCAGCAACCGGGCCCCCAACAAGTTCAAGCGTTCTATCATAGATTAGATATATAAGGCCAAAAGTTCAATGTTCTCCCATTGTCTTTGTGACATAATGGTTTGAAGTAGATTCCCTGATCTAACATCCCGAATATAATAGACCCAATGACAAGGAGGTCGGGAGGTTTCCTGTTTAGAGGTTCCAAGGCTGAGGTGGGACTGCGCGCTTGGGACCCGCGCGTGTGCACGTAGGCGAAGTGCTGCTGCTGAACATCCTGGACCGGAAGGAGATAGGCTCAGTGCTTTCAACCCTCAAAGCCCAGAAAAACCCTAAACCATAAGCCTTAAGCCCTAAAGCCCTAAACCCTTAAACCCCTAAAAGTCCAGAAACCTTTGAATAGCTAGAACCCCCAAGCCTCAGTCCCTAAAAGCTCAGAAAACTTTAAACAGCTAGAACCCCGAAGCCTTGAACCCATCACTTCTAAGTTGTAGAATAAACTTCAAAATATGCCATATAACCCCAAGAATAACTATAAAACCCCCAAAGCCCACACCCTCTAACCACGATACCCCAAACCCTGGGATGCGAGGGATACTTTAAGCCGTCGTGTAGCTTTTTTGCAGAACTGACCCCCCGTTGTGATGTCCGCGGACCTAAGATACGCTTTAGGGTTTAGGATTTACCCTAAACCCCAAACCCTAAACCCTAAACCCTAAACACCCTCATGAAGCTGACCCTTCTTAGCCTACACCCGAAACCTGGGTTTAGGGTTTAGGGTTTAGGGTTGCCAGTAACCCCCAACCCTGAAACCCTAAAGCTAGGAGCTAGGACCCACGGGGAAATAGAGCCTCTCAATAAGGCCCCTTTTGTGAAAGCCATAAGTGGTTACGAGGGGTCCCCCATTTAAGTCTCCCTAATACTACCCTAACCCCTAAACCCATGCAAGGGGTCTCCATAATACTACCCTAAACCCTAAACCCTAAACCCTGAACCCGTGTAAAGTGTGTCCATAATACTACCCTAAACCCCAAACCCTGAACCCATGTAAGGGGTCTCCCTAATACTACCCTAAACCCTAAACCCATGCAAGGGGTCTCCATAATACTACCCTAAACCCCAAACCCTGAACCCATGCAAGGGGTCTCCCTAATACTACCCTAAACCCCAAACCCTAAACCCATGTAAGGTGTCTCCCTAATACTACCCTAAACCCCAAACCCTGAACCCATGCAAGGGGTCTCCCTAATACTACCCTAAACCCTAAGCCCTGAACCCTAACACTGCCTACAACAGAAAAAGCCCTACACCCGAAGCTCAAGTGTCCCCCAGGCCCAGGGCACCACGAATGATACAGCACAAAATTAGGGTTTAGGGTTTAGGGTTTAGAGTTTAGGGTTTAGGGTTTAAGGTTTAGGGTTTAGGCGTACCGCACAAAAGGCTGGCAACTCGCAACCTCTTTCTAGGGATTCAGGCCCTCTCTGATATAGGGGCCTATTAATATTAGAACAGGGGTTTGGGGGTATATTATACCATAATTCTAACAAGGAGCCCCCAAAATGGCATTGGTAA